TTCACATGGTAAACAATACATTTTGGTGGCCGTAGACTATGTCTCTAAATGGGTTGAGGCGATTGCAAGTCCCATAAACGACTCAAAAGTGGTGTGTAAGCTCTTCAAAAGCATGATATTCCCACTGTTTGGTGTGCTAAGGATAGTTATAAGCAATGGAGGCAGCCACTTTATTAACAAGATTCTTGAGGGCTTGTTAAAGAAGCACGGTGTCAAGCACAAGGTGGCTAGTCCTTACCACCCTCAAACCAGTGGCCAAGTTGAGGTTTCAAATAGAAAAATCAAGGCGATCCTAGAGAGGACTGTGAACAACTCAAGAAAAGACTGGAGCAAGAAACTTGATGATGCTCTTTGGACTTACAGAACCGCTTACAAGACCCTCATAGGAACCTCACCGTTTAACTTGTTGTATGGGAAGAGCTGTCACTTACCGGTTGAGTTGGAGTACAAAGCCTTGTGGGCAGTCAAGTTGCTGAACTTTGACATCAAGACCGCTCAAGAGAAGAGGGTTCTACAACTTCAGGAACTTGAGGAGATCCGGTTACACGTTTTTTGAGCTCTAAAATCTACAAAGAAAAGACCAAGGCGCTTCATGACAAGAAGATACATAAGAGAGAGTTCAAAGAAGGGGACCAAGTACTGTTGTTTAACTCAAGACTTAAGCTATTCCCTGGAAAGCTAAAGTTTAGGTGGTCTGGACCGTTTAGAGTTCTTGAAGTGAGACCATATGGAGCCGTTGTCTTAGAGAGAACGGCAAAAGGGTTATGCACTACCTGGTATCTGAAATGAGAGAGGGAGCTACCTCAGTTCCTCTTCTTGAACCCCAAAATGCCTAGAAGGTATGAAAAGTCAAACTTAGTGACGTTAAACAAAGTGCTCTTGGGAGACACCCCAAGCTTATCCTTGTATATATTTCCTTTTGATTTTTCTTTTTATGTTTATATGGAGTGTTTTGAAGGTGTGGTTAAGTGATTTCAGGTCTAAGCAGTGTTCTAAGTGTATGACTTGGAGGAACAGGTGCAAGAAGGCTTGTAGAAGACATGGCCTTGTGTCTAAGACAGGAGTTTTGTTGGCCTCGGTATCGACCCTCGCCACAATCATGCCATGGTCATCGTTTACCGTGTGAATATTTAAAAGACCCCGGCCAAACCCCTCATCTTAGTAACACCGGGGCTGTGTGAGAAGAAGAAGAAATGAGCAAAACGACTAAGTGTGGGGGAAGGGCCCCTGGTGTAGACACCTCGGTATAGACATACCGAGGCTCAAAGTCTGAAATAAAATGTCAAAACCTCGCTTAGAGGCCATGACCTGTTTACACCGAGGTCAAGCTGCTTAAACCCCCAAGCACCAAGTGTTCTACCCAGAAACAGGTCCCCTCAGCGTGATGCCCTCGTGGTGGAGCATGCTGAGGTGCCTGGTAACGAGTATAAGCAAAAATAGAACACTTGGGAATACTTAAGTCAAAGAAGAAGGTTTAGCGGTCAATGGAAATGGCTTGGGGGACAAGGAAATTTCTGTGTTAGCACGAGCTCTAAGCCCTCGGTCTGGAACACACCGAGGCCGCATGTGTCTAACCCAGAAAAATGAGAAAAGCATGTACGGCCCTCGTCTTATCCAAACCGCGGTCATTTGAAGGTTTTGCGCGGCAAAACGAGTTTAAACGCTTGGTCAAAGCATTTTTAGGCGCGGTCAATGGGTGGAGTCTGAGAGGAAGGGCGGGACCAATCCCACAACAGTCCAAACGCCAGCTGGAAAAGAGACTTCAGCCTATACCTGCCTCCATACCGAGCCAAAAGCAGTGTTTGCTCTTCTTCTCCCTTTCTCTACATTTACACGAGCATATCTCTCTCATTTCTAATTCATTTCACGCGATTTCAAGTGCTCTGAACTCATTGAAGTGTTGTCTATCCTGCATATGCATCTCATTGAGTTTGAATCCTGTGTTCCCAAAGGTATTTTGAACTGAAAGAACTCATCTTTTTCCATTATCGTTTGCGAGATGTTTTGTTTGTAAAATATGAAATCGATTCTTTTAGGTTGCTAAAACTTTGGGAACAATTTTAGAAATTCCATCAGGATAGACAACACATGAAAATCCGGTTCTTGCATTGAAAAACGCCTTGAGTTTTTAAAATTTATGAGAAATTATGCTTTAAATCGGCTTTAATGGTGAAATGGTTTCTCAGCTGAGTTGCTTGCTTTTCTCTGTGTCTAGCAACTGTTATGACTAGTTATTGATCACTCTGAGCCTGAGAATCCTTTGAGCTATTAGTTTTTGAGAAGGCTCTGTTCTTACTTATTCTCTTGAACTTGTGTTGGCGATATCTACTTGGTGCTTATTCTCTTTGAGGATTCTTTTGCAGATGACTGAGAGAACAGCAACCCTAGCTCAGAAGAAAGAAGTCCAGAAGAGGGTCAACAAAGCCTGGAGGAACAAGCAAGAAACCCTCTAAAAGCACCAAGAGAGCCGATGGCGAGCCGGCCATGAAGCGAGCAAGGAACGACGAGCTTGTGCTTGTAATGGTGCCTGAGCCGAAGAAGAAGGGAAAGCAGATAGTTTAGGCACCTAATGAAGAGAGATCTGAGGCCACGGTTGAAAGAGAAGCCGCACCTGAACCTGTTCCCGAGTGTGCTGAAGAGGCAAAGGAGCCAAAAGCTGGGTTTGAAGAAGATCACTTGCCAACTACTGGGGAATACGTACTTGGATCAGTTTAACAAGGCACGAGTAGCTCAATATCGGTTCTCTGATATTGAGCTGTTGAGCAAGTTAGAGATTCTCGATGATGTTAAGCTCATTTTTCAAAATATGGGTTTAGCATCATTCTTTTAGATGAGAGACGTTGCCTATAAAGGGATAACTCAGCAGTTCTTGGCCTCTTTAGACGTGTTCATTTACCCCCAAGAGAGATCCCAAGAGACTACATGGGAGAGGTTTCGGTCACATTGAGTTTGAGATGGATGGGGTCAGTTATAAAGTGAGCTTCAAGGAAATTGATGAGATCTTTGGCTTTGTGAGGAATGAGAGCTCTATGGAGAAGTTTGTGTACCCCAAAGAAGAGATTGCTGCTCTGTGGGACACCATTGCTTTTGGACCGTATGTTGGAGGCAAGAGCAAGACAAGCTGCTTAAGAAATCCGGCCATCAGATACGCCAACAGAATCTTAGCATGCATGTTCTTCTCGGCCTACAACCCCGGGGTCATTCATTTGAACGAGCTAGAGCTGTTGGGACTTGGTTTGAAGCCTCACACAATGAATAAGAAGGAGTTTGAGGGTCCAATCCATGTACCTTCTTTAGGCGCATTCTTTGCCATTCAAATGCTCACTTACCGGCATAATGTGTGGTGTGACCGAACAAAAAGAGGAATCAGGAGGCTTCAGAACGGTTGGGTGGTGACCAAGATCTTAGCAAGAGGCTTTGTGTTCCCTGATACCAAAGCCAAGCTGAGTCTCATTGATGAGAAGTACCTGAGCAAGAGTGGTTTCTTCGAAGGCAATGTAGGGAACCAATGGGCTTACAACTTCAAGCTGTTGCATAGAGATGACACACAGGTTCTCTTGCCCAACCGAGCCATCACAACGCTACAAGAGAGAGACGTAGTGTCTCATTCTTTGTGCTCAAAGATCAGCTGTACAATCCATCAAGAGACCCCCCATTGCGAAAGGGAATGAAAGAAGAGAAGGCCGAGTCAAGTAGGTCTCAGAACAAAGCCAGAGCTGATGGTTGTGAGAACGAGGAGCCTCGAGTATTTGAAAGACGAATGGCAGGCCGTTATCACTTTGACCCCAATGTTTGGGGTGAGCCTGAATATCACACAAGAAAGCTGTACTCAAGGGTCAATGGCCTTCAAAAAATGGTGCAAATGGCATGACAAGACGATTCATAAGCTTGTCGCTTGCGTGAGACATTTAAAAGTGGAGCACTGCATAAGAGAACGAGGGAAAGAGAGAGAGAAGAGGGGAAAAAATAAAAAGAAAAATAAAAAACGAAAAAAAATAAATATAAAATTTATTAAATAGTCATACAAGAAAAGTTAGTTTCTATTAATATTGCTGATGAATATTGCAACAAATAAATTCAAAAAAAAAGGTCATACAATAAATAGTCGTACAGTAAAAATTAGTTTCTACTAATATTGCTGATGAATCACTATGATTGCAACAAATAAATTCCAAAAAATGTTTAGATTGATAGAATTGTGAAAGTTTGTGTTTTAGGATCAAATTGAATTGTGAAAGCTTTTTAATTCATATAGTCATGATATGCTATATGCTATATAGACTTGCTATATGCTACATAAACTTGCTATGTTACATAAATTTCACAAAAATAAAATTGCATAATTTTCAATCTTAAGCCAAAATTTCATCGAGCAATTTACATTCTAAAAAGCACTTATCAAATTCAAAAGTTCCAAATTTAAAAAATGATTCAGATTTCTATGAGAGAATAGTGAATAGTGGTGATACATAAAACTAGTCAAATCAACTAAATTGAAACAGTTGATCAAAAAAATAATAAAAAAAAAACTGAAATTTAAAATCGAGATGCAACTCATATAAAAGAAATAGGTGGATGACATCGTCGGAAGATAGAAGGATAGTCAAAGAAAAAACAAAAAATTTGGTAGAAATAAAAATTTTCTTCATAACTTACATCGAAATTGTTGATAACAGTAGAAAAAAGTAGAGTATTGTGTGAAAAAACAAAGAGAAAAGAGAAAGAGAACAAGAACAAAAGAAAAAAAACTACGTAAAAGAATAAACAATATTAATATATATAATATAAAGAATATTAACTTCAAAATTTTTTTTGGTTATTCAACTAAATATAATTTGTTTGGTGGTTATATCACTGCAATTTCCCAAAAAAAAACCGGTTAAAGTGCATTGAATTTTTTACAACATATTTGGAGACAAGTTTCTCAACCAAATGGTGTCCTTAAAAACCCAACTCCTCTCGCTGATACATCCACACAGACAGAGACGTACTGTACTATATACTGAACGAAAAGAATCTATCTAGCTACAATCACCTCACAACATATATTTGTATATATATGAATTGTACACAAGAAACATAAGTAATCACACCTTACATAAGGCTAGAATACGAATTGTAACCTTGAACCGAGCCATACGGTTGGTGCGGGTTACCATTCGAGACAAATGGGTTGCCAAAGCGATTCATGTTCTGTTGTTGGTGCTGATAAGGTTGTACAGGTCCCATCATGATTCCAGAGTTCTGATGCTGAAACACATATGTTTGATGGTTTTGATTCGCCATTTGAACAGAATGAGGAGCTGCGACTCCATTAGATGCAAAGAAAGGATGTTGCATCATGGGACCGTTATGAACTGGATACTGTTCCCATGGATTGTGGCTTCTGTTTTGTTGTTGACTCGCTCTTATTGCATCCTCGTATAGGCTGTCAAGTGTGAGCTTGTCCAGTCCACCAGCCTTTTTCAGTCAAATGATACAGGACGAAAAAGTAATGTCAGAAAAGCACAACTTATCCGATTGATTATAAGAGAAAGAGAGAGAGAGGAGCTATTTACCAATTTGCTATTTGCAGCAACACCTTCATTTGAGCTTGGAGCAGTCACAAGTGCTAATTCCCAGCCAGTCGAGTTCCCATTTGTAATATCAATTGTAGAAGCTGGCGGCTCAACTGGAGAAAAAATTCATCAGACGGATTCAAGAAGACAAGATCAAAGCAACGAGATAAGCCACGCAAGATTAAAATAGTTACCGCTAACAGGGACAATAGCCAAAACTAATGCATTTTTCTCTTCAAGTTCAGAGACCACAGGAGCTGGATCATCCATAGACTAGTTGGAGAAAGTCGAAAAGTTAACAGGAGTTTCAAGAAAAAGATCAAAACTTTAGGTTGGGAAATCGTTAGCAAATGGACAAATACCAGAAGATCAGGTTGTTTTTCTACAGGCTTCTCTGCTTCGACTTTAACTGGTTCAGGTGATGCCGGTTTCTCTTCAACAACCTTTGGGGGCTTTTCGTACTCTATGGCCAAAATCTCTTTGGGAGCAGTAAGTTTCTCCACTGCCTGTCATTATCGTAAAGGTTAGTGTTAAAAGCAACTTGGGTCATAGTAAAGGAAATGACGATCGGTTTGTTCACAGACTAAAAACAGGAAGGTTCTAGTATTACGAAGACAGGCATTACAAGATACTTTCATACCAGCTCCTTATTGGCCCCTGTTGCTAATGGTGCTTCTTTCACATACTCTTCCATTGCTTGTAGAAAAGAAGTGGGAGGCTTCATACAACAGAATATATCGTAAAGACAAAGCTCACAAAAAACCAAACTAATTATTCAAACTTTGATGAAAAACCAACCTGCTCAATCTTAATAAACCTATCTCCACGTCCAACATAAACACTTTTGCAAACTTCAAAAAATTCAGAAAGCCTCCCTGCCTGAGAGACACCAATGGAACCAACTATAAAGTGGTTCTTATGCCAAACAAAGGTAAAAGACAAAACCACCACATACATTAGAGGTTTTCCATACCTGTTTTACCGCCCTTCTGTACATATCCAACGCCTTAAGAGCGTCGTTCCGTTGCATCTCAAAAAACTGTCAGTAAGGAAAAACAGTGTCAAATAAATCAGGAAAGACAAAACAAATCTATGCAGAAAAAGTGAAGCTTTTGCATACCTTATCAACCAAATTGTCTATCCCATCCGTGAGTGCTTGGTAGATTTTAGTGCTCTCAGTTAAAACCTGTGATGTGAGAAGTACATTGAAAATCATAAATGCTGTTAACCAAATTCAATCGAGAAGGAGCAATTAACACCAATTAATTTTGTAGAATACCATTGAGAGTGCCAATTGGATAATATGGTTTTGAACTGCTGCCCCTTCAGGCTGGAAAGATGCACCAAAAATCATTTTTAGTTGAAGAAGTGTGCAAGATAAACAAATCTCATAAATAATAGAAACTTATGTTAAACACATCATCTAACGCCCTCATTGCTAACAGAATCAACTCAAAACATATCTGAAGTAGTAGATTCTGAATTAGATTTATCACCTGACAATCAAGAACACGGAAAAGAAGTTCTTGCAGAGCTGGAAGTTGTTCTAGCAAATCAGGAGTGTCCAAATCTTTGGTTCTCTGTATTTAATGGCACGTGCTATTTACTTCTAAACTGAAAGAAAACTCTGAGAGCTCATAAAAATAAGGAGCTGATAAAGGAAACTTACTGGGGGTTCAATCTCAACATCGTACTTCAAAACACGGAAACACTCTAAACGTTCCTCTAGGAATAGAGCATAGAAACGGACCCAGGCAGAGTAATTCCATGCTGAAAATGACGGGTAAAAGAAAGATAAGAGAACCAAATGACGAGTTTCCTCTATACATAGGATTCAACGGAAATAAAAAACCACTTTAATACCATTTGGACTGGAATCATCTTTGAAATGAGACATATTAAGCATATGACTCCTGCTTCTGCTATAGTTAATAACTTCTTCATGAAACGTCTGGTCCACTTCCCTCAAGGCACGGTGAATAACAATAAGACTTTTCAGTGCAACCTTAAAGACAAAAAAAAGAATAATCAGCAGCAACTTATAAACATAAAAAACACGTCCTTATTTACAAAGCTCATAGTGATTTCACAAAAAGTAACAATGAAGCTGTTGCATATCTTACACATCTAACAAGCTAAGAATACGCAAATGCTGCTACAAAGGATTACTACATGTCAATTCCAGTTGTTTTCAGATCTCTACTAAGTACCAGCAAACCACATAAGCGATGAAAACAATACCGCCCAGTTATGTGTTTTCGACAATCTCCTCGCCAACGCATGGATGCAATAAGCAACATCTGCACGAGGTCTTGTTGCTGAAATAGCCATGAAAATAGCTGCATCGGGGGACACAAACAACTTGTTATACAACTTTGTTGTAGAGAAATCAATAAACCCAAAATAAAACACATTTAAAACCTACGACACTAACCATCTATGATACTACCCACCTCTGATGTATCTTTCTTTCGAAGGACGCTCCACATGATTAGTAGCCTTCACAATAGCAATATCCAATTCCTGAAAGAAGAAAAACAAAACCATCATCCATGCAATTGCTTAAGAAAGACACAAAAACTGATTTCACTAAAAAGAGAGTTTGTTATCTTTAACCTTATAATCACTATTGACTTTTGCTAAAGAAACCGTTGTGGTATCTTTTATAGCTCCAAGATACCTCCTTAAACTGCTCTGTGATCCTGACATTTCGTTTCTCCCTCAAAAGAAACCTGAAACAGCTTAAAACTTTTATAACGTTAGATGGCATCAAAAACCCCTAAAGATTGCAACTTTTTCTTAAAATCACAGAACCCACATGCAGACACATCAAATCTAACCCCAAAAGAAAAACAAATAAAAAGAGAAGAAAAACCCCTTTTTTATGTAATCGATTCCTTTATGCCATATATTCATAAATAATCAATAAGATTAAGAGCACTATGAAATACCAAATCAGTCCAAGAAATCTGGATTTTGACATGAAAGAAGAACGAATCCGAGATCCGTAAAGAGACAAAATCAAAGAAAAGAAGACAGACCTGATCAAGGTTTCTTGTCAAAAGAACGAAATCCCAAGAAGAAGGAAGAGAAAAAGGAAAATTCAATTCAACCGCCTACTTAATTACGATTGGAGAAAGATTAAAAGAATATTAAGATTAATCGAATCGAAGAGAGAGATAGAGAAGGAAGGAGATGAGAGGTACAGAGTCAGAGTCTTTCTTTGTTGTATGTACGACGAAAAGAGAACAAAAAAGTGTTAGCGAAAATGAGGTAAGAGCTAACGTGGTTTGGTTTGTCCGTCGGCGGCCAATATTCTATTTTCCTTATTTATGCTCGTTTTAAGTAAATGTTGTTATTATAAAAGTCCGTCCTTTACTTTTTAAGTTTGAAAATGGTCAATCTTGGCATAAATTCCACATTGCAATTATGTATTTTAATTAAGAGAAATTTACATTGAATGACATTTTATGACTTGTTATTTACAAGTTTTGACATTTTCATTTCTGATGGCATTTTTTTATACTTTCTATATGAAAAAGACATAATACACCCCAACCTTCTTTTCCAACTTAAAACCAACCAATTTTTGGTTTACCATCCTGGTTTCAATTTAAAATCATATCAGTGCTCTCATGCTTTTCGACAACTATTATTCAACGCAGACATTTGTTTAGTTATTCAATCCACTTGTTTAATTATTCAATCCACTTTCCCTTCTTCTTCTTAATTTATCTTTTCGTTTTCTTGATTTTCTTTCAATTTAGTTTTTACCGCCAACTTTTCTTTTTCTTTCCTTATCTATTAGTGTCACACACAACTCTAATTATTTTCTTAGTTATCTTTCCTCTTCCTCAAGTACGACAAACCCAGCAAACATTACGAGCTCTGCGTCTCCCTTAATTCTCGTCCTTATCTGAAAAAAAAACTCTTATGCTTGTTAAATGGTATCTCTCTGTTTCTCTACTTCACCACAAAATCTGGAATCTCCAACTTCGTTAGTTGGGCTAGTAGATCTGATTATTTTTTTAGTTTTCTTTCTTCTCACTATATGATGCTGATAACAATCCAGTTTATCTCCTCAACATCTGATCTCGCGGTTTTTCTCTTCTGCCTCCTTCTTAGATTCTGCTTCATTTTCAAATTCTTTCCTCCAATTTGCATTGTTTCACGACTTGTCCATACCAACTTGTACATGGCAGAATCCCTATTTGTTCGTCTCCAAGTGTACGAACTTTGATGGACATAAATTAAACGTGAAAGATATGACCATGTAAGATTGTACTATTTTTTCTTGTTTTATGGACATGGTGACAAATGCTTTTGTGTAGATAATAAGAACTATTTTGCTTATACATTTTCCACAAATGCGTGCAAATAATAATAATTATTATCGGACAATAACTAAGCAAACACCAAACAGTAAATAGAAATCCAAATCCATAAGTAAAAGAAATCTAGTAAATCGTCAATATGTACCAATTAGACACAGATTATCCATTATGTCTACTTGTCAGGTGGACACGATAATATTAATCACATCCATGCTAGCCCAACATTGGGTATATGGTCATATCCATGGGTATGATCAAATGAATTTTGTACCACCGTATAGTCCACCAAGCCATGAGTATGGTCACATCCACACACATGCCAACATATTTTTCATCCAGCATCGTCACCCCATGTCTTTCGTCCTAAATGGATCCATTCTCTGGATGTGCCTATATAACAACTATCTTTTGTATCTTTCCTCACAAACCGTCATAATGTTCTTATGACTAGATCCATATTAGCCCACTTGATTATATTTTGTCCTTCATATACTCATCCCTAAATTTTGTATCTTTATATATGAATCTTTACTTACTCACAAATATAGTTATGTACTTATCACTTTTTCATGACCGTTTCCATTACTTAATGAGTGTAAAAGAATTCCATCATATGGATGTTCTCATGGGATAACTATCTCTGCACATATGTTTTTGTCCATATGGTTATATCCATATACTTTAACTAACTCTTATAACGTTCATATGGCTATATCCACATACCCTAGCTAACTCTATATTGTCATGTATATATATATATATATATATATATATATGCAGCTCTGAATTTTTGGTATCTTCACTTTTCCTTACTCAGTTATAGGCATATGGCCACATCCACATGTGTGTATGGTATATATAGTCATGGTTATGGCGTTATAGTCATGGTTGTGTAGTGATGGTTATGAAGCTACGGTAAATATTGGTATTTTCAAATTTTCATTTTTCATACACAATCCCCATAACCACCTGTGATTCCAGTTGCAGAGGCGGTGGATTCGCTACTAGAAAATCCAAGTGCAATCCAAATTCTTTACCAGCATATGCAGAAAAGCTTAATCATTGACTTTCAGATTCATATGGATTTAATTGACATGGTTGCAATGGACATGGACATGGCCGCTATACACAGACATGGTCACGTTGTACAAAACATAATGGAACAGGGTCACATTGTACAAAACATAATGGAACATGGTCATGATGGACAATACATCATGGACATGGTCATGATGGATAAAATATCATGGATATAGTTACGATGGAATAGATATCGTGTACAGAATATCACTATCTCACCTGCCTCATTTTCTGGCGTGGTCGCGGAAGCGTCTGGGAGTGCTAGCTCTTACGCGTATGACTTCATAACTCTTCTGCCGACAGTTTCAGAGCACGACCAGCTTAGTCCACGGATTCGTAATGGTGGGAAGACTTTTGTTCGAGAATCGATGAGTTTCCACGAGATCTATCTCCGGCGAGAGAGAAGAGAGAAGAAGAAAAAAAGAAAACTCAAGGAGAGAGCGCAAAGATCTAAATACGAGAGACATGGTTATCGGATTGACAGATCTGAGAAAGAGAGAAAAAAGGAGAAAATGAGAGAAGGAAAGAAATAGAGAAAGGTGTTTCTCGTTTTGGGAGAGAAAGAAAGAGAGAGTGATTAAAACTATTTTATTAATATTTGACTCCCCCAAAAAATTATTGGTTTACAAATCAAAAATAACTAAACCAAAAATGGTTAACCAACTTAATTCATACCGACCTTTTGTTTTGGTAAAGGGAATGAAGGGCTTAACATGATTTTCACATGGGCAAACTCTTAAAAAGTGTCATCAGAATATAAAGTGTCATATTCTGTAAATGTAAACTCAAAAAGAGTCATTACTTGTAACCAACTCTTTAATTAATAGAATTTCCTTAATGTAAGTTTCTCTCCCAAAAGGCCAAATCTACCACATCCGCTAAAAAAATTATATTCATACCATTTGTAAATTAACACAGTAATTATTTATCTTCAGTTAAATAAGAAATCAAAAACCTATTATTGAAAAGCGTAGCACTCCCTTTGTTCTTAAATAGATGATGTTTTAAGATTTAATTTTGTTCCACAAAAAATGATGTTTTAGGAATATTTAATGCTTTTTCATTTGTGATTCATTTACATTGGTTTAAAACAAAAATGTGTTATCATTTGGGGCACTTTTGAGTTATTAATACCCCCTATAGATACTTTTAAATAAAATCACACTTTTTCTACTTGACATTGTTCACTTAAAGAAAAAACGAAATTGGCCTTGTGTGCATTACATATTTACTTATCTTAATTTTTTATTTATTTATATTATATTAATATCACAAACACTCCCATATTTGTTTATCTTTATTTATCTTTTATTAAAAAAAATCGAATAATTATATTGATACTATAAATTTTTTTTTAATATATTGATATCCATTTCATAATTTTTGATTTTTTGTCATTTATTGATAGAACACATACATATCCATATAGTTGCGTACATGTGGACACAAATATATGAATATCTATGCAGATCCACATAGATATGGCATATTTGTATGCATCAATATAAATACACATATATTTACATGCATCTCCATAGAATTGCGTACATATAGACACAATTATATAGATAAAATATATATATATATATATATACATATCCACATGCATAGAGTATAGAGAGATGTAACTATATAGATACATATGCATATTTACTTGTGTATCCATATAATTGCATACAAATAGACACAACTATATATATATATAAATATGCATATCTACGTGCATAATATATAAATCGATGTAATTATATAGATACATATGTATCTATATAGTTGCGTACATACATACACAACTATATATATATGCATATCCATATGCATATAGCATAAATAGATGTAACTATGTGTAGAAGTAAATGAGTTAAAGTGTGTCTTGTGCGATTTAGTGTGTGAAACTGATAAGTGAAGTCAAGTGAGTCTCGTGCGTTTTAATATTTTCCTTTTTAAAAATGAAATAAGGTAAGATTAAAATGAAGGACAGGATTGTCAAAATAGGAATAAAGTATAAATAAGTGTTCCAAAACACACAAATATCTATTGTTGACATAAAACACAAATGAATGTCTTTAATGGCAATATTCTCTTGTATGAATATCAAATTTCTGAAATAGTATTAGAAAGTGGGAATGATGGTTATAGATTTATCGAAAATAGTAAAATAATTTAGAAAAAAGTAAGTAGTAACAGCATGTATTTATTATTTCTTAATAAATGTGAAAATTTTAAAACATCAAATATTCTGAAACATAGAGAGTAAAAATCAACCCAACCCTCTCCTATTTGCTTTTGTAGCTAGGGTTTCCATTTTATATCACCATAGTTAAGTTTTTCAATGTAGAATTTGTAATGCAGTTAGATTGTTATCTAGATTTCGCCTATGTAATAAATTTAGCTTGATTTTGAAATCTAATTAATTTTTAACCTTAATGTGGTTGGTTGGCGATGAGATATTCTCTGCTGGATCATGTTCATATTTCTTGATTCTCTTTGATGTCTATGGGTGTTTTTCTCTCTTCTATTTAAATATTTAGCAGAATTTATAATTACTATTGTGAGGATGAGAGAATGGTATAAACATGAGAGTTATATGTGCTAGCAGCATAATCAGTTCTCTCAAACATGTTCACAAGCACACTGCAAGAACTTAAGTCCTATATAGGTGAAGTGGTAAAAGTAATGGGAAAAACATTGTCTTGGTTAAGGTATGAATTTTTATATTGCATCGTCTAGGATTTGTATTTTTGCTAATACCAATTTTCAAGTGAATTGCTCATAAAATAAAGTTTACAATAGTTAAAGTTTATAAGTTTAGCTTGATCTTAAAATAATAGGATTTTGTAAAACTTTAATTATCTATACTATTATACTTACTAGGTCT